AGAAAAAAAAAAAAAAAAAAAAAAAAAAACTGGTGATAGGAATGAAAAATGGTACAGCCACTCTGACTGAAACCATTTGGCAGTTTCTTACAAACTTAAGTATGCTGTTACCATATGACCCAGCATTTCCACTTTTGGGTACAGACCCTAGAGAAAGAGAAACTTAACGTTTGCAGAAAAAAACTACATACAAATGTTTATAGCTGCCCTATTCATAATCACTCTAAATAGGAAACCACCAAATGTCCTTCAAGAAATGAATGAATAAACTACTGGGGAAAAGCTGAAGCAAGTGTGAAAGATAAAGTCTGATATAGGAGAATAAATGAACAAGAATCTATCTGGACTAAAACGCAATGTCTGGGGTGAGAGAAACCGGACCACTCCTGGATCACAGCGCCCTGCTGCACACCCAGCGGATACACCATCTTGGGAGAGGGAGTCAGCCCTGGCTGAAGGAGTAGACTCACAGTCACTGCAACCTCCCTGCCTGGCATGGTGAGTGAGACGTGCAAACTGGGAGTTCAGAGAAGCCAAAGCAGGAAAACTGGCAGGACAAAATGCCAGGCACTTGCATCCTGAAAACAGCAGTGCTACAGTGCCTGCAAGTGGTGGGACTGTGGGGAAAGAGAAGGCTTACCTCAAAGAGAAAATAATAAGCCACACACACACACAATAGGAATGGTATGCTTGTGGGACATTTTTGTGCACTACCCACCATTGCAGATTACCAGAGGGCTCCCGGGGGCGCTGCATGACTCAGCCAAGTCTGTCATCTTGAACCAAGGCAGTGTTAGTGTCAGTCCATTTACTCTTGCCGCAGCAAATTATATGAGAATGGGTACTTTAAAAACAATGTAGTAAGTAATTTGGTTCACTGTTCTGGGGGCTGGGAAGTCCAAGATGCTCTGCATAGATGAGGCCCTTCTTGCTGCAGCGTAGCGTGGCAGGGTGGCACATGTCACTTGAGTAGACAGAGCCACTGCTGTAGCTCTGGCCTCTTCCTCTTCTGATGAAGACACTAACGCCATCATGGGAGCCCCATACTTCTTACCTTAACTACTACCCAAAGGCCCTCCTCCAAATACGATTCACATGTGAATCTGGGAATTACGTTCCCAACACGTGACCTTTTGGAAGACGCGTTCAGACCATAGCAGTAAAGATGGAAGGGAGAGCTGAGTGTTAGACACCGGCATGGACATGTGTGAACAACTGAATGTAATACAGACCAGCTCACTCCTGACTCCCGACTCCTGAGTGTTAATTTGATCAGTAGAATCAGCAGAACTTGTTATGTGGCATAAGGCATACAGTCATCTAGAACATCTTCAAAGTGTGCTATTTTGGACCCAAACCGCTATATCTCAGTTGGATCACTAATTTCGTTTGGGGTGTTGTGGAGGTTACTTTATTTACTAGTGCTTAGTTTCTCACCTGAAAATGAAGTTACAGAGTTGTGAAGAACAGAGTTAATTACGCTAACACCAGAATCTGTTTCATGGTAAGCCCTTGAAAAATGTTCACAGAAAACACAATTCTTTGTAACATATCACCCTCAAGTTTAGTGGTTTAAAATAACAATGATCCTATTTTTATTTCTTATGGTTATGGGAGTTACCTGGACCCAGTGAGGCACTTCTCACTTGGGAGTCTCTCCTATGATTGTAGGGAGCTTTGCCTGGGGCTGGAATCACTAAAGGCTTGTAGCTCACTGGTCTGCTGTCTGGACTGGCATGACTCAAGCAGCTGCCCTCTCCTTTTGTATGTCTCTCCCTTTTTTTTCTCTCCATCTCCCTCTTTTTCTCTCCCCTCTGTCCCCCCCCCGATCCCGTTCCAGTATGATCTCTCCAACATGGCAGTTTCTGGGTAGCTGGACTTCCTACATGATGACTGCTTCCAAGTGAGTGTCCCCAGAAGACAAGCAGAAGCTGGGTCTCTCTAATCTACCTCCAACTCTGTGCAGCCTCCTCCAAACTGTATTCTACTTTATAAGGCAATCACAAAGCCCTGTCCAGGTTCAAGAGAAGGAGACAAAGACTCTCTTGATGGAAGGGAGTATCAGATACTTGGTATCACCAGCGGTCAAACTCAAGGGTACTGTACCACCAAACTACATCCCCAGCTTTCTCTTTCTTCTTTTCTTTGAGGCCAGGAGGACACCCCCCTTTGAGACAAGATCTCATTAAGTTGCCCAGGCTGGCCTCAAACTTTCTTTCATACTTACATTCTTCCTACTTTACCCTCCTATGTAGCTGGGATTACAGGTGTGCGCCATCCAGTTCATTAATCCTATTTTTAACCCACCAGGGAATCCAAGATGAAAAATCTGAGGTTTCCTGGGGAAGAGGAAAAACAAGTATATCTTTCTCACAGTGGGGCCCCTGTCAAGGTGAAGATTCCCAGAAGGCAAATGTATATTGAGTTTAATACTTAGGAGACAGAATGAGACCAGAGGTTGAGGCAGACGTTGGAGCTATAAGACAGGTGAGAGTGCCCTGGGAGAGTGTGCATCCCAAGAGGGTAGAAGACAGAATCCTTCGGGCATGCAGACACACCGACATCAAAGTGGAGTGCATGTCAGAGGGTGGAGAGATGCGTGCTTAGCCTGGCCGGCTTCTTCCTGATACCCATCTCTTTTACCACCTGAGTGTTGTAGCCTAAGAATTTGAGTGTTTTATCCACTTGCGAAAGAAGAGTCACCTTTTCAGGAAAACTGGCCCCTTGGTCACCCAGGAGTGTCTGCTCCCACTTCTGCCCCAGTGCTGCTAACAGAATCTGCTTCTTCCCCCATAGAGCCAGGATGTGTTGTGCAAGGAGTGTGGTGCTCCGATTGTTTCTGTCCTGTACAGATCCAGGATGGAACAAAGAATTAGATACTCTGCCCTCCCCGCAGTTAAGTATTTTCCCTGAAGTAGTCAAAGAGTCTGAACAATTGTTGGGCAAGTTCCTCCTCTCCAGCCATTTCAAAACTTCCTTCTGAATTCAAGCCATATCCCAATAATTAGCTTTCAGTTTTCTTAGTAAACCACATTGGTGCAAGGGCTGTCCGGGTTCCTAGTTGGTGAGTTGCCACAAGGAAGGAGGAAGTGATCTGAAGTTCTGCGAAAACTGTTTCAAAACAGATGTCCCTGACGTCAGGCAAGTCTGAGCCCTTCACTCTAAGCATCCCTCCAAAGACACTGGCATGGACACGTGTGATCAACTGAATGCAACACAGACCAGCTGACGCCTGGCAGATTGAGCTCCAGAGTGGAGGGTTTAATGTGGGCCAGCAGGTGAAGTCAAACAGACTGCGGGGGAACATGGCAGAGTCAAGAATGGCTTCACTCACCCTGTTTCTCGCTTCAGACAAGATGATTTCATGAACTGATTTATAGTCCCTCTCACCTAAACTCTGAAATAAACCATCTCTTCCTCTCCCCGAAACTTTTCATTAACTCCCTCTTGAGTCCAGGATCTTCCGTTCTACTATCTTCTACCTCCCCGTTCCGATTAGGGCTTCTTCTCATCTTCCCATCCCACGGGAAGTCCTACCATGCCCGTGAGCGATTCCCACCGCTTCACCTCCCTGCTCTAATCTGTCCCACGTATCTCACCTGACTTGGTCTCCACTCTGTGCCTGCCCTTGTGCCAGTATGTTCAATTGCTACTCCTTAACTCTCCCGATAGCTCATCTTTATATTTGGGATGGTTTATCTCATCCAATCCTCAGGATGATCTGCTTTAGTAGGGAGAACAACTAAGGGTTAGGGGAATGTAAATTCTCAGCCCTGGTATTCAAATCCCTTTGTAGAATGCACCAAGCTATGTTTCTAATCTCAGCTCTTTAAACTACACCTGAAACCAAACACGTACTGGTTCTGTATAAAGGAATTGAATTTGGGGGTCACGTAGACCTGGGTCCCACGGGTGTACATCTCTGACTGTGGGCAAGTTTCCTATTCCTTTCTGTGCTTTCCTTCACCTGTAAATACAGTACAGGCTTGTTAGATTAGAGAAATAAAATGCAGATTGAACATCCCTAATCTGCTCCAGAATCCAAGCTTTTCAGTGCTGCCATGATACCACAAGTGGAAAATTCTATAACATTGTTTCTTGCACAGAGTTATGAAGTATATAAAAATATTTTTAGGCTATTTGTATAAGGTATATAAAAACATTAATGGATTTCATGTTTAGACATGATTCCCATCCCCAGCATATCTCACATGTATCCAGATATCCCAAAATTTTACAAAATTGAAATCCCAAAATACTCTGGTCCCAAGCCTTTTTGGTTCTCAGCCTGTAAGATACAACGACAGACACTTGGTGCGTGACAGGTTTTCCTCTCTTGACCCCTTTGTTCTCCCCGCTCTTCTTCCTCCTCCGTGGTTCCTGTCTGCTGAATTCCTATTTTCACATCAAAGGCACATCTGAAATTTTGCCTTTCCTGATCCCACAGAGTAGGAATGTAAAGGGTAGACTTGAACTCCTGCCACTTGGTGGCCTTTCCTGTAGACCAGCGACTTTCCTTGTCTGACAGCATGTGGGTATCCCATCCTGCCTACTAGATTGAGTTCTGGGTGGCAGGAGCTGTGTCCTCAGTCACCTCCCCTTGGTGCTAGCACAAGGAAGTCACTCGGGTAACATTTATCACATGGACTGGAGACCACAGGAGGCTTCATGTGTTCTTTGTGCTCATTTCCTGATGCTCTGATACTGGTTTTCAACAGAACCCTGGTCTCTCTTGCTGTTCTGTTACGGAATCTTGCACTGTGGGAAAACTGCGGGAAGATGAGAGCCGAGGAGAAAATTGGGTTGCAGAGGTGTTTGGCATGACTTCCCAGAATTCAACAGTTGTTAAAGTATGTGTTAACACTTTAGAATTGTGTGGTATTATACAAAGACCCAGATTCCTGGTTTCTCTTGAAAACTGTGGAGGTCAAGGCCACCCTGGGCCCTCACTTTTGCATGATAATGCATGGCCAGAGCTGGCAGAACTGCCACAGACACCCCAGGGCCTGCATCCCTCACTACCTCCCTGAGTCCTGAGTGTGGCACATTTGCAATCTTTGGTGTCAACTTCATAAACTCTACATTTAAATTTTGTCTTTAAGAATGGAGTCCTTCTTTGTGATTTTAGGACAGCTAGCCAAAAAGTCTTACTTCTCGGAGTGGTGAAATGTTCTTCTATGGCAGTTTCATGATTTAAACGTCTCTGTGACCACCATCTGCAGGCTTCTTTCCTTTGTTTAGAATCGGCACTGGTGGAGGCCCACACCCTGTCCAGGCTCCAGCCCCTGTCCACCCAGTGTCTATGGCTCTTTTCAGATGGAGGAGCCACTGTTCCCACTCTGCCTATAATAGAGTGAAAAATATCGGGTCACTTGGCTTCCACTCTCACCGTTCCGCACCCTCAAGCAGAAAAACAGACGTGACCAGGAGGGAAGAAATGGGTCAAACAGAAATTTCTGACTTTGTACTTTGTCACCTTTAATACTCAGAGTCTGAGT